TCTTAAGTCTTACTGCTTAAGTTTTTTTATGTGCCCGGGCCCTTACATAGACATAGTATATTTAGAACGAGCGTTTGCTTTTATTTAAGGAGTGGGGGTAAAGATGCACGCAGAAAAGGATATACTCTGTTTCGTGCCCCTTACGTTCTCTCTCGCTCGCACGTAGCATAGCGTACTCTTTCACTATGCTATGTCTAGATATACTATGTCTATGGTGTCTTATTTCAGTATATAATCCTTATGTTTTCACATTATATTTATTTCCATGTTATTATTTTTATATTGCAAGTATAAAATTGAATTTATATTAATTAAAAAAGCAATTCTCTATATATTTTTATACGATTATAATTTATTTTATTTTTTTTATAGAATTGATGATATTCAAGATAATTCCATTTTGCGAAGAGGTATTCCTGTTGCTCATTCTGTTTATGGAATTGCTAGCTCACTAAGCGCTGCAAATTATATATTATTTATCGCTATGGAAAGAGTTGTCAATTTGCAACATCCTGCAGTAAGTAATCATATTATCCCTCTCTAAAAAAGGCATGTTATTGACATTGTTGCCTCTTTTCCGCGATGCTGACTAATTCTTTCGCTGTGCTTACTTCACTGAGTAGCTGTCATTGTGGAGATCGTATATTCTGATAGTTCGTAGAGATTACGTATTGCGTATTTATTATACAATACGTGTGCATATAATTCATTTACATAATAACTTTGCATGCAAAAGTAATTACGTTACACTGCAATAAATTTGATGTTTTTTGAATTATTTGATCCAATGTCAAAGTACTTTGATTATTTTTTGTGGACATAGTTATGTAACTTGTTTACTACTCATATTTGACGTTTTGTATAATTCTTAAAAACGAGTTCATTAACTACATCCTCAAAAATAACCAATATACTCAAAATTAGATCCAATAATTCAAAAAACATCTAAAAATTGTTTAACTTAAACGGCCAACTTAAACATTTCAATCAATAAAAAAAGCTTCATTTTTAATTGTATAATTTATTAAAAATTGAAAAATGTCCGTAAGTAAAAGCGCGTGGCGCGCGCCTGTGTTGTTCTAGTACTTACAAAAAAAAGATAAAGTATGCAATATACTATAGTCACATTATACTTACAAAAAAAAGATAAAAAGTAAGCAATATACTTTAGTCACATTATACTTACAAAAAAAAAAGATAAAGAAAGCAATATACTTTAGTCATATTATACTTACAAAAAAAGTTGGAAATCAGAGATCTCTTATTCTCTTTTCTAACAATAAATGCTCATATAATGTTTTTAATTGTTAAATGTTTAATGAAAAAGGATAAATAGCGCGCGCGAAGCGCGCGTTGTGTTGTGCTAGTACAACATAAAGTTCATTAAAACTCATTAAAATTATAAAAAATTAGCTTCACATTTGCTTATTAGATAAAATGTAAATTGTGCTGTATTATTGCACTAACTGCGTTTTTTTTCAGGCAATACAAGTGTATATGGAACAATTATTGGAACTTCATAGAGGTCAAGGAATGGACATTTTTTGGAGGGACAATTTCATCTGTCCAAGTGAGGCAGATTATAAAACTATGACAATAAAAAGTAAATATTAATACTTATATATATATTTCTTTGTGAAATTAAAAAAATTACATATGGAAAATATTAAAATATTAACTAATTTTGCAGAAACTGGTGGTCTCTTTAATTTGGCAGTAAGATTAATGAAATTATTCTCAATTTATGAAGAAGATTTATCATCGTTAATAGCCATTTTGGGTTTGTACTTCCAAATACGTGATGATTATTGCAATTTGTGCCTTGGTGAGGTGAGTAATAATATATTTGTGACATTATACATAATGCATAAATAAACTACAAAGAATTAAGCTAATTTTTTGTTACAGTATACGGAAAATAAGAGTTATTGCGAGGATTTGAGTGAAGGCAAATTCAGCTTTCCCATTATTCATGCGCTTACAACGAATCCTGATGATAGGCAAATAATAAGTATCCTTTATACATTACTTTTATATAATACTTTTTTTTTTCATTTAGAACAAAAATATTTTTGTTAATTAATACACTTTATTTACTAAAGAAATGTAAACGGTCCCACACATCATACACAAAAGACATTTTCAGAAATTTTATAATTTATAAACTTTATTATATATAAGTTTCCTTAATAATGCCTGATAAAGATATTCTGAGACAACGAACCAAAGATATGGAGGTAAAACGTCATTGCATTAAATTGCTAGAAAAATTTGGCTCTTTCAAGTACACAAGAAGTGTTCTTGAAGAGTTGGACATGAAAGCGAGGGCTGAGATTGGACGTTTAGGAGGCAACCCACTTTTGATAAAAATTTTAGACGAGCTCAAGAATTGGGATACTAAAGAAGCACCCAAAGATCTTTTGACTGGAACATTTTAAATTTAAGAGAAAAAGATATATATGTCAACTTTGTGTATTTCTTTATCATTTTATGTAAAACTGCAAGTTTTCATAGTGTTACCAATTGAAAGATTTGGTATTGATGGCAAAAGAGAACAAGGGATGATCACATGAAAAAAATGATATATGGAACAATTTGTAAAAAATGCAGAATAAAATTTCTTGTTAGGAAGCTTCGTTTTATGAAAAGAAAAAAAGTATTATAAATAATAGTTTGTGCATGTGGGAAGCTAAAAAATATTTAATATATTTTTTTTATATTTTAATGTAAAAATTGTGGTATTTTTGTTGCGTTAAAAACTATGCTGTACAAATATAATCCTGATCTCTTGTTAAATGTATTTTAAGTCTTTGACTCTTCAAATGCTGACAGTGTTAACACTTCTGGAATTCTCGAAATAAACTATTGACGTCAACAAATCTTTTAAATAAAAATCAAGATATGTGACGAATTTAATAATTCGAATAATCAAGTTATTACAATACCATAGCCAATCCAATATTTATATTGCTTGTTTGAGAAGTTTGAAGACTTTACTTTTCAAAAGTGAGCTCCATTCATATATTCAATTTCAAAAACCTTTTGCTTTTTGACTCATTTCGATTCATTTTTTCATGTAAAATCATCTCCTTGCCAATTGTACTATTAATAATGAATTGGTACTATATTAATATTATACATTGCGAATTATAATAGAACAAGTAAAAACAAGACAGCAATTTTTATTATGTTAGGAAAGAAGCTATTCAGTCTGTGATATTAAAAATGGGAATATTTCTTTCTCTCTTCACAGCTCTCTTTTATACAAATCAATTTTATGAGTTAGGAGGTACTTTTAGAAAGTATTTATTAGCAATCGTGTAACATGTATACAATTTAGTAGCATACTGAATGATCATCTTACCGAAGTTTTATAGTTTTGTACGTATCATGCAATTATAATATACATTTGTACCTGTTATGTTCTGAAATACATAATGCATAGAAAATCATCAACTAACAAATATTTTTATCTAAGAAAAATATTTGCGCATATTTTCATTCCTCCACGCGTACGCACGCGCATGCAATATACATCTCTTCCATTACTACATCATCGAATTTAGATTCTTTTAGCATCTTTTAGCAGATTAAAAAATCAGTAAATTCAGTATGCTCTTTTGTCTTTCTTTTTTTTTAGATTAAATCTCGTACACAACATGACTTTTTGGTCATTTAATTTGCACAGCTTTAGATGGCATTATTTCGGCCTCGCGCGTCTCTAACGTTCATTTCCTTGCAGAACCGTTTACTTTCGATTGATACAAGATCAAATCGAATCGGAGATTTCTCAGGTCGATTTCGAAGGACTATGATAACGTGGCGATTTGACATGTCCTCTGTTCAATCTCGCTGTCCTCATCGGATTCGCTGGCCCAGGAGGGCCGTCGCTCGTGTCATATCTCGCCGTCGCTGTCCCCGGGACAGCGTCCTGATCCTGACACGCAGTCATCGAGGACTTCCGTCACCTCGCGAAACACAATAATTGATAGATATAATCGCAAAAAAAAATTTATAACTAATATTAATGTGCGTTTTGTGGCAGAATCTGAATTAACTTTGATACAAATAAATCAAGAAAGCGAGTCCATCTCGATCTAAAGTCAGAAAAATTGTAAAAAAAAATTATAAAAATGTCGATTATGAAATTATGTATAAAATATTCCACTATTAGCAATTAAATTTTAAGATATAGGGCAGTGAAATATTCTGTGTTAAAAAAATTGGGCGATAAATTCCTAAATTATAAATATAGATTTTCTTCTATACTCTGTGAAAAATAAATGAATTACAAGAAATGAACAGATTTCTCACAAGATTCCGATGTCAACATCAGGAAAGGGGAGTCGAATGGGAGAAATCGATGCAGGGATCTTGAGAATACTCACTAGGACTTCCTCGAAGCGATCGTAATTGTCCTGCCTGGAGTTCAAGAGACTCTCGCCTACCGAATCAGTCCCAGCGTTCGATTGACAAGGATCTCGTCGTCCTAGCGCGCTCGATGCAATATGCAGCAAGGACAATACCGCCAACAGGCCGGCTGCAAACCGTATCTATATATATCGGGGAATTCGCACAGGAAAATAGAACGAGGAATCGCTGAAGAACTCTGCATCCTCTTACCCGCAACATAGGAAAGCCAAAGTTTATTGGGTCGCCATGCCAAGACGCAGGACAACGGTAAGTACAGCAATGCTCTTCGCCAGCCTCGCGTGGTTTTCAGAACGTTGGACCAACAACGCGAGCAGAAAGAATCCTCGTTTCTGGAAAAAAGGCAGATTTCTTTTTTTCCATAGAAAGAGATTTGCTCGTTTACGAAATTAAAAATATTTTAGAGAGAGAATGTCTTGTATATTTAAAAAAAAAAAAATTATAAATCAATTAATATACACATTTCATACACGCTATTTATTTAAATCAAATAGATTGTAAATTAAATTCTTTTTTTATTCTTGTATAAAGTTTTATTTTAATTATATATATTTATGTATCGAATCGAACCGATTTAAAGCTATATTTAATCTTTTTTGCCAATAATTTATAATTATTAATTATATGAATGATTGAGACGTCAAGAAGAAGCGGACAAAATGCATATATACCCCAAAGAGTTAATATTTGCAAACATTGTAATAATATTTACATAAGCTTCGATGCGCGAGAGTAGAGGGATTATCCGATTTAATTTCAATTCGATAAACAAAACTTTTATGAGAACGAGGTTCCATTGAATTGCGAACAAACAATCAGCTTTAATCCTTGTTATAGCTCCATCAATTTTCATTCAATTTCCTTCTCCTTTTTAAAGGGGCGAAATAGCAAGACGATTTCTTCATCGATTGCACTTCTCGCGTCGGATACTTTCATCGTTCATTACATGATTAATAAATTAAATCCTGTCCTTGTACAAAAGAGATTTTACTTCAAAACAAAAACTTGATTTGTTGACAATATATCATAAATGAAACAAGTTTTATATTATATTCTTTTAATTACATATATTACCAGCTTTCTGTAAAATCGCGATCTTTTCACAAAAAGGCTTAATATAAAGCGTTGAATTTTCGTCGTTGTATTTTAAGCCTAAGCTTTATTTTTATTTATACACACATATGTAAGTATGTATAATTATTATATATTAACACATTGGCCTACATACGCGGTAGCGATTTCGTTTGTAATGCTATTTCATGGAAATATCCGCAGTGAGCATACTGAAAAGGAAATTATCTGGAAGCGACTTGCCAAAGCTGCGAAATTATCAAGGAAATTTCTGCGAAGATAGACAGTAATTATTGCCTGGATCTGCAAACGTACCGATATTAACACTCACTGCTAAATTCGTCTAATCAATATTTCGCAGAGGATTAATCCTATTATGACGATGATAAAACGGGAAAAGCACAATAATAATCTTTTTATACGACTTTATATGAGAAAACATAAAGATAAAAGTTTTCTCTTTTAAAGTAATTGAAAGAAACTAAACAAAAATATAATTCAGAGAAGAATTTCTCTTTCGATACTCTTTTAGCACACACACAATCCATTTATTGAAATATTTTTAATTGAATTATCCTCTGAATGGATGCAAATTTTTATCCTTGTGCGAGATGTGTGTGTGCGTGGTGTAAAATATACATGATATCTTTGTCTGAAAATGTGTTTTTCCGTACTAAACGACATACACATTATCTCTCTTGTTCTGATCAGAGACAATCGAGTGGGAGGTGGATCTCATGCAGGGTGATCGATCGCTCCGACTCGTAGTTTTAATGGCACCGTCGTCGTCGAGGGCATAAACTTCCGCCGAGGAGTAACGTCGATTCGATGGATCGCTAAGCTAAGTTACACGATAAAACCGTAGGACCATAGTAGAACTTCTTTTACTACTTTCTCCTAGCACATACTAGCTGTACCAAGCTACGAAGAACGCTGGCGACATCGTTTTCATTGGCCCTCGTCCCCGCGCTGATCGATACGAACAACTTGGATAGAAAGCTGATCAGTTTCGTGCGGTAATGAAAATATAATTTACCGAAAACGTTTAACCAATTTACTAATATTGATATCGAGGAGATATAAAAACTTGTAATTCAATTTATAAAATGTATCTCTCGATAAATTAATCGTTAAAAAAGAGTACACACATACACAAATCGGAACAATAATTTCATTCTTAATTAATTTTTTTCACACAGATTTTCACATTAACTCTAGAGATAAGAGGATTCTCAAAGCTCGAATTTGACATTTAGCTGGTTTAGATTTACTACTTGTAAAGGCTTCGTCCTTTGCATCGTAAAGCTTTATCTAGGTGCTTGCCGGTGGTCCGCGTTTCCTCATCCGTTCGTCGGGAAACGCGGGGAAAACTGGGGCAAACTTCCGACCTGGTTGGTAATTGCCGGCTGGCTTTGCGCTGCTTCTTTTCCGTGTTATCCTGCCGCGGTTTGGACTCAACGATAGTTCCCTGGGGCCCTTTTAACCCCCTGCGCCTGTTCAGCTTATCGTTTCTAATATACACGAACCAGTTTCGGGCAATTTACAAAATTATATATCTTGATATTTGCGTTACATTCATATGTTATTCCTCGAGAGAAACATTTACCAAAATTTCTCTCTCTCTCTCTCTCTCATTTCTTTACTCTATTTATAAATAATTACTAATTTCTCTTATTATATTTATCATATATAAATATAAATTTATAATAACAAAATAGATCAAAATTAATAAAAAAATAAATTACATATACATATGTATATATAAAATAAATATATATATATATAATTATTAACTTTATTTTTATATATACATAAATTTTATATTAATTAGCAAGAGAGAAAGAGATGAAAGAATACATAAATAAACAAAAATATAAATTAAAAGAAAGCAACATCTTTTTTAGGAAATTGTTATTTTTTTTATATAGGCATACCTGACGCAGAGCTGTACAAACAAGGTAATGGCCCAAGTTACTTCAAGGAAGAAGATCGCGCCCGATGCCGCCCTGTAATTTAAATCGTATATTTGAATTAAGAAGATGTTCCAAGTTGAAGAGAAACCGAATGTACGGTACGAAACTTTGCGCTCAATGGATCGAATACGTCGTAACAACGCGGTCACTTCGTCAACGATAACTTTTCGAAGGGACGCGAGAGGGAGAATCATAAAAAAAACACAGTAGCGGACTTATAGTTTCTATAAGGGATCTCTGCTACTGCTCTTTACACAGATATACGAGAACATAAATAATAATAATTTCGTTATACGAGAAAATTCATGTCAATGTTTGCCAATATCGCGGAAACGTGATTCGACTGTGTCGGTTGTAAGGGAGATGGCGATTTGTATCCCAGGAGAGAATCACGATACCCTACGCAGTGTATCAATGATTTAAGGGCGCCGACTGCCTTGCGTAAAACGCGAGGGAAGCTCTGCTTGTAAAAAATGTAAAACATTTCTCTCAATCTTTCCCACTCGCCGCGAAATTTTTTCCGGAAGTGTGAGCGAGTGAGGGTGATGCCAGCAAGAAAATTGCAGTGAGCAATGTCGAAAATATTTCTTTTCACCGTGATACTCGAGTTCATTGCACATATAAACCGGCGCCGCTGTGAAAAATGCGACCGCGGACACAAGGGAATATCTAATTAAGAATTATCGTCCTTTCTCGAACGCGGAATTTTATTATACGTTTGTGCGTTTTAATACTTTGAGAGGATGTCGCAAAAATATTGTCGTAGATAAATTTAAAAATCAAAAAACTGTCTGTGACAGTTTTATTTAGGATCTTTTATCGCGTATATATGCTTTTTTAAATGTTTTTATATAATCTAGAAATAATGAAATTATATATCGTATATTATTACAATTATATAAAACTCTGTTCTATGGATTTTTCATGAATGTAAATTGTCTAAAGTAAGCTTTAGTAGACTCTTCAAAATGAGCAAGCAATCTTAAATTCCATTAAGTCACTGAAAAAGACAAAAGGTGCGAAGATACTCTAATACATGTATACATACATTAACGTACAAAAACCATCAAATTTGTTCGGAAGATTATTACGTTTAACTTATCATTAGATAAAGAAAGACTTTTGACTTTTTCTACTCCGTGACCGAGTAAATACCTTGCCTTAAAGATAATCTCATTCCAGCATCGCGCTTCCATTCCTGATAATCTAATTGGCCCTAAATTAGATCTCCCGAGGACGGATCGAATCGCTTGAATTGCCCGATAAGTAAGAACGGTCGTAAAGATTTTTACCGTCGTTCATTGTGTTTAATTATCATACTACTAGTATTCGACAAAGCGGATCATCCAGGAATCGTAGTTAAAGCACACAGTTGAGAGTACGCAAAGCATAAAAGGTCAGGAACAATGGAGCTTATGGAGGATATGCCGTGGATAAATTAGAATCTCATGTTTAGTCTTTAAAAGCGGTGTTACTCCGCTCTGTTTACACAAATAACTCACATACACAAGTACCTCTTATTACGAATATCTATTACTATTATTGTTATTATTATTATTATTATTATTATTATTATTATTATTATTATTTCTTATGTAACAAGATGCAAGAAAGAAAATTGAGGAAAGAGCCCGTAAAGCGTAAAATCCAAAAATTTAAGATACTCTCATCGAGTTGTCTATTGCCGGATATTCCTTCGATCATAGAAATTTTGAAAAAATCTCAACGTTCATAAAATTTGTATTTTGCAACAAATATGTCGATAATTGACCGCTAAATATAAATATATTTTAAGGATATAGCTATATATAAAAATTAAATAATAATAAAAATAATAAAATAATAATGTAATATCAATAATATCAATAATAATTTTTCAATTCTTTCAAATAATTCAGTCGCTTACAATACTGTTACGGGCATACAATCGTCGAACGTACTACGGTAAATATTGTCACTGTTTCTGACAGACGGACAAATAGTAATCGCCCTGCGAGAAACAGATGAATCGAAAGGAATAAATGGGAAAATCTCTTTTGTAAAATTAAATTACTTCTTCGTATAATTTCGAAAAATTCGATTATAGACGATTGGAAGAACCGAGGAGTTCGATTTCGCAGGATGAAGTTTACTCCCGTCGATACCACCCTTTGATTCACTCGCCTAGCAGTCGCCTTATTCTCGCGGGTCTAATATGTCGACGCGGAAATCGCGATAACGCGCGCGCGGGAGGCTGATAATGCGTGAATTGAATTACGGTATACGCATGTTGAATTATCCTCACGTAACGTAAAGCCCCATGACGTGTCGATGGTACGCCACATCCGCGCCGACGCCGCACACAACTGCAACAGACAGAAAGAGGATCAAAAAGATTGCATCTCCCGTCCCGTCTGATGAATTCCATCTCGCCGCGGCGCTATACGCCGATATGTATTTCGCAGGCATCGATCTCCTCGATCGTATTTTACGCCGAACGAGATTCGCGTAATTTATAACCGCATGTGCAACTCGCATACGAATCGTCGCGAAATATTTCAACTACGATAAACTGAGCGAGTTTCACAAATATAAATGATATATGTGATAATATATATATTATTTTTATTAAATAATTTTTTATCAAAATGATCATATTACACTTTTTAACATTATATTCTTGAACATTTATATTAATCTCGTATTAAATTATTTTTCTTTAATTTTATTAGAGTTCCTTTTGACTCGCGAACTAATCATTTTCGCACGCGTTTGATAGAACTTTAACTTTTTATCTCAATTTAATATTTTACATTTAATACGTATTTAAATTTTTATTAAATATTTCTCTCTCTCTCTTTCAGAATATTTTATACATCCATCCATCTTCTCTGTAGAGGGAAACACCGATATTCCCGCAGGATACTTCGCAGCATAAATTCCCCTCTGTGTGCTTCCGTATGCATGCCGGTGCATTAATTACCGCTTCTGAAATTCGCCCATGCATTCCAAACGTTTGGGACGAGCGTGCAAGTCGGAATCTTTTGCCATTTGTTATATATAATTCATTACGATAATGAATGATAAAAAAGGAAACGACGATCCGCGATTTTAAAATGTGAAAAGAAAAATATTCTAGAGATGTCTCCTGCATCTTATCGCAAATGTGCGCGTGTATTCCATCGAGAGATTTTCATTTAAAAAAAAAATTGAAATTATTACATGATGTTGAAAATTATCGTACCGGAAAATATCAAGCAATATTGAAAGACACGAACGTATATTTTTACAAAAGAATAGTATGAAAACGTTAGGTACAGCAAGATTCCAATCGAAATCCCTTATTAATCCGCGCGATCTCGGTATAAAATTATTCTATTGTGTCGGAGAGAGAATACGTATGTATTCTATATGTGTTCTATGCAAGTATCATGTGCACAATGGATCGACTACATTTCCATCTGACAGGAAATCAATACAGTAGGTTCGAATTGGATTTTTTTTTCTCGCAAAGCAGTGGTTCAATTTGAACGCCTACTACAGACAAGGGGACAAAGCCGATCATCTCGAATCAATGTAATTGCCCCCAGGAGAATGCACGTTGTACATGTCAGGCGATGCTTCATCGAGACTCAGCCTCACATCAAGCATATTGTTGTGAATGAATTGTCCTGTCAATTTTTTTTACGAGAAACAGATACACATACATCTCCTAAATATATATATATATATTTAGAAAAAACAATTAATTTTCAATATAAATAATTTTTCAATCCACATCCGTGAAAAAAACTGATTTCTTGATTTAATAATTCAAATTTATTGTGATGGAGATATCGCTGAGTCGTATATACAGTACGATCGCTATACACCTACACCGTCAAACAACGGGAAACGAATATATGACGATGATAACTGCAAGTGCTCGGATCTGTCTGGAAATGGTGCTCTATCAATCCGCTATGACGAGATGCGACTTTACGCTCCGAAATTTTTCGAAAATCCAATCCTTGACAGTTGAAACGCGATTTCGATCAATTCTGTGAAAAACTTTGAAATCGAAAAAAAAAAAGATTTAATTAAATTGGAGTTGAAAAAGAAATCGGTTTTTCTCTCGCATACAAGTTTTAGCCACGCTCAGCTGAAGCTCTATTGTCAACGCGGAATTTTCAGATATGCGTAGAATACAATTTAAGCCGGACAAGAAGCAATTTCTGAGAAAGTCGAAGAGAAGGATATCAAAGAGCAGTCCGTGAAAGGTCCCTAATTACAGAGCGGATCCGATCAAAGGATTTCTATAAAATGAAATAACCGACACATGAGGAAATAATTACACGGGCCATTAGAGAACTTTCATTTGCGCCATCATGTTGCAAATGTAATTAACAATAAGAACATTTGAAAAAAAAAACCATTACGTTTCAATTTTCATGGTGACGCGTTTCTCACGCGACAATTGCAATGATCGAGCTAATTGAGGGAATAATTATTTGGCAAATAAATTCAACGGTTCGACAAAAATAGATCAAAATTAATTTCTATTAAAAAGCTGTCGATCATATTAATTAATTCATCATAATGTGTCTCAAACTTTTATATTCGATTCGAAGTATATTATTCACATGATCTCATTTTCGTATCGAATCACTTTGGGTCGTAAACTCTAAACTCGAAATTTCGCAATTATCGATTTGCAAATAACGTAACCGCAGCTTACATTTCCATTTTGCAAGAAACTTGACAATGGGAGATACGTGTGTGTGTATGTGTGTATGTGTATGTGGACGAGCGCACGTGTTTGCTGGTCCAACGACGAATTTGGGGAAACGCGAGTGCGATGTATTATTCAGAGGACGAATTCGCGTGAAGTTTAATAAAAGAAAAATCCAGCCAGGAGGACGTGTGCATCTGGGATCTTTTTAGCTATCGTTGAGAAGAAAATACTTGCGGACTATTTTACGCTTCTTATCCGGTGCCTCCGTTCTCCTCCACAAAATGTATTTTTATTTTATGTATTTACAAATTGGCAATCACGCCGGAAGAGATGTAATTTGCTGCCATAACGGGATGATCCTCACTTCCGCAAAAGATGATTTAGAAAAGGAATGAGGCACAGTAAATAGACATGTTATAATCCATTGAAAGCGCATAATATAATTAATCTTTGATTAAAAATTTTGTACTTTATAATTTCCATACGACTTTAATTTCCGTTTAGGGTGATTTTTCGAATGGAAATAAAGTCTTGAAAAAATGTCTCTGCATCCACGATTCAAGACCATCCGGAAACTCGCAAAATTGACGGATGCGGGTTCTCGACCGTGTTCGCCAATACGTGACGTCGCCGGATGAATGTTCTGCGGCTGAACATGAGTCGGTCATCTACGATTGTGCTCGTTCGCGTCGCGAATGAAATTTCCGGATCTTTATTGTCCTCCAAGATGTTCGCCGGGGATATCCATTATCCTCTCACCGACAAGAGAAGGTCGCCATCTGAGTAGTTATTTTCTCGAAAATTAAATCTTTACATCCACATAGAGGATATTTGCTCACATACGAGCAAGCATTATGAGCTAAGCGTTGCTGCGACAATTAATTTGATTAAAAAATCGATAACCGCTTAATCTCGCAAGAAAATTGTTGATGTAAAGCGTTGACATTTCACCAACATTGATTCAACTATAGTATGCAAGCGGAAGCATAACTGAAGAAAATTATACGCGGAGGCGACAAAGTGTCGTACTAAAAGGGTGAGAAAGGTTGCAAGAGGTGGTTGCGAGGTGGAAAATCCGAGGGGGAAGCCTGCCTAAGGATGAATAGTAGCCAATAGGTCGCCTTTTCTTCCTTAATCTCTTCCTCTGTCGCGGGAACGAAGACAGATTGACGCGATCGGATTCCTATCTCACGCGATCGCGCAGCCCCCTCGATATATATATATTTCTTCCTTTTTTTATCTCTTGTTCGCATTTCTTCTCCCTCTTTTCTCTTCGTCGCTTTGTCCGTGGAGCGAATTTTCGCGGCCGGTGAGCGGAGTAATTCAAATTTCCAGTCTCAGATTCAATTAGAAGCGCGATGCAATTAGCCGCGGACACCCATTCGTGTCGTCAAGGGTGTCCTTCCTGAAAGGGCGAAAGCGCGCGATAATTAAGACGGACCACTCTCGAATATATAATTAGACCAATTAGCTTCGGAAAGTGCCGCTCTCTCTCTCTCTCTACTCGCAAAATTGACGGATGCGGGTTCTCGACCGTGTTCGCCAATACGTGACGTCGCCGGATGAATGTTCTGCGGCTGAACATGAGTCGGTCATCTACGATTGTGCTCGTTCGCGTCGCGAATGAAATTTCCGGATCTTTATTGTCCTCCAAGATGTTCGCCGGGGATATCCATTATCCTCTCACCGACAAGAGAAGGTCGCCATCTGAGTAGTTATTTTCTCGAAAATTAAATCTTTACATCCACATAGAGGATATTTGCTCACATACGAGCAAGCATTATGAGCTAAGCGTTGCTGCGACAATTAATTTGATTAAAAAATCGATAACCGCTTAATCTCGCAAGAAAATTGTTGATGTAAAGCGCTGACATTTCACCAACATTGATTCAACTATAGTATGCAAGCGGAAGCATAACTGAAGAAAATTATACGCGGAGGCGACAAAGTGTCGATGTATTAAAAGGGTGAGAAAGGTTGCGCGGAAGCATAACTGAAGAAAATTATACGCGGAGGCGACAAAGTGTCGTACTAAAAGGGTGAGAAAGGTTGCAAGAGGTGGTTGCGAGGTGGAAAATCCGAGGGGGAAGCCTGCCTAAGGATGAATAGTAGCCAATAGGTCGCCTTTTCTTCCTTAATCTCTTCCTCTGTCGCGGGAACGAAGACAGATTGACGCGATCGGATTCCTATCTCACGCGATCGCGCAGCCCCCTCGATATATATATATTTCTTCCTTTTTTTATCTCTTGTTCGCATTTCTTCTCCCTCTTTTCTCTTCGTCGCTTTGTCCGTGGAGCGAATTTTCGCGGCCGGTGAGCGGAGTAATTCAAATTTCCAGTCTCAGATTCAATTAGAAGCGCGATGCAATTAGCCGCGGACACCCATTCGTGTCGTCAAGGGTGTCCTTCCTGAAAGGGCGAAAGCGCGCGATAATTAAGACGGACCACTCTCGAATATATAATTAGACCAATTAGCTTCGGAAAGTGCCGCTCTCTCTCTCTCTCTTGGCCGACCAATATCACTTTATATGAGGGATGTGTCCGGGAATAATACTCGTGTTTCTAGCGTCTTTGAGTTGGAACTCAACTCTACGTGAATTGGATCCCAAATGTGAAAACGGATGACGAAATTCTGCGCTCTTATTTTTAATGA